CCTTACTATTTATTTAGGATGTTTGATACAGGGTCGATGTAGTTCTGGCTGTCCTGGGATTCCCTGTGTATACCAGCCTGGACTTGAATTCACAAATTCATCTGCTTCTGCCACCTGAGTGCTGGGATTAAAGTTGTATACCAAAACTGCCAGTTACAGAAGGTTATGAGCCACTATATAGGTGCTGTGAACTAAACCCACAAGTGCCTTTAACTGCTAAGTCATTTTTCCAGCCTCTATTCGAGTCTTTATGTAAGCCTAAAAGTTATAACTAATCATATCATTTGTTAATCTTCAGCATCTACTAATTTTGTTTTATAAAACTGGAGATTGAATCCAGTGCTTTATGCTCTATTACTGAGCAACATCCTCAGCATCAACTACTAATTTTAACAAAACATCTGCAAAGGATACAATAATGTATTAATTTATACTTATAAAAACAAACAAACTTGTAGCCAGGCAGTGGTGGCGCACGTCTCTAATCCCAGCACTCAGGAGACAGAGCCTGGTTTACAGAGTGAGTTCCAGGACAGGCCCCAAAGCTACACAAAGAAACCATAGCAAAAAACAAACAAACGAACAAAAGAAAATTGTAGGTAGTCAAATATGTACCCACTAGTCATTCTTTTTACCCTAAATAACATGTTCTAACAAAGTTTTACAAAGTTTTTTGTATTTAAGAATGTCATAAACCAGGTGTGGTAGCACACGCCTTTAATCCCAGCACTCTGTAGCTAGAGGCAGGAGGATCTCTGCATTTAAGGCCAGTCTGGTCTACTTATGAAGTTCCAGGACAGTGGGGACTACTTAGGGACACCATCTGTACGAAAAGAAGAGCCACAAATCAAGGTACCTTTCGCGGGGACTACATAGAGACACTGTACGAAAAGAAGAGCCACAAACCAAGGTATCTTTCAAATGGGTGTAAACACTGGTATTACAGCACAGGGGGAGCAGTCTCAGCTGTGGGTCTGAGTTGTGTGTTATCTGATGACATTCAGTTTCTGGGTTGGAGGAAGTGAGCCATCAATACATTCCTAAACAAGTCACAGGACTGGTAAGTCATACCAAGGTAGGCAGTGAATAGCTCCTAAGAGGGCTGTTAGTCCAAGATAATTTAGCTCTGAAGCTGCACTATCCCAGCTTTCCACAATCAGTAAGTTCTAATCAACACCTCACCTTTAACAAAGATATGGCTTTCCTCTGGTAAATTCAATGCATAGCACTTAAGTGGTTTTACAGAAAAACAGAAAGAGCTGTAAGATGAGCTACATTTAAAGCCAACAACCAGAAACACAAGGAACAGAATTATGACTGGCATGACAATTCATTCATTAGGATTGAAGATTTCATGGCTGAGAAGTGAAGATGTTCTCTTATGAATTAAGAGAGATTATTCACCAATGAGAGAATTGTGAAGGTGTAGGGAGTAGGGATTTCAGGATAGTACAGTTTGGAGAGTAGGGAGAAAGTGGAAAGCCAGGAATCCAGATTTGCAAATATTCACTTCACTATTTCTTTTACAGTAAATTGTAATTGGACATTTCTCTCATCAGGGCCCAAATACCCAGGGCTGCTTTCCAAATAATTGATTCAGAGGCTTAATATAAATTATAAACGCTCAACCAAAAGCTCAGGCTCATTAACTAGCTCTTTTTTTGTTTGTTTGTTTTGAGACAGGGTTTCTCTGTGTAGCCCTGGCTGTCCTGGAATTAGCTCTTGTAAAGCAGGCTGGCCTCGAACTCATGGAACTCACAGAGATCCGCCTGCCTCTGCCTCCCGAGTGTTGGGATTAAAGGCGTGCACTACCACCGCCCAGCTTAACTCTTACATTTTAAGGTAACCCATATTCCGTATTTACGCTCTGCCATGTGGCAATACCTTTCCTCAGTACAGCATGCCCATCTTGCTCTCTCCTGAGTCTGGTCAGTGGCTCCTGGACTCTGCCCTTCTTCCCACCATCCTTAGTTTGGTCACTTACACTTCCTGCCTGGCTACTGAGCCGTCAGCATTTTATTAGACCGACTGAAGGAGAAATCTTTACAGTGTACAAAGGACTGTTCCACAGCAGCGAGTCACACTAAGAAATGAATGAGGAGCTTGGGAGATGGCTCCGAGAGTTAACACACCTGCTGCTGAGCTTGATGACCCAAGCACAATTTCAGGAAACGTACGATTGAAGGAAAGAATTGACTCCTGCAAGGTGTCTTCTCTCCTCCACGAGTGTGCTACTGCACAAACGTGTGTGTGCGCGCGCATGCGTGTCTCTTAAAAATAAATGACTCCTGAAAAAGTATTTTGTATGTACAGAGAGCAAATTGATTAAAACTGAAGGATCGCTGGAGGACATAAACTTGAAAACAAATGTTAATAAAATTAATAGACTTTTGGAAACTGGAAAGAAACATTTATTTTAGGTTACAAAATGCATGCAGTTTACAAAATGTATAAAAGGTACAAATAAGACAAAATGTCACTTTGTATTTTAAAGAGTTTTGATTGCTGGGTGGTGGTGCACACCTTTAATCCCAGCATTCAGAAGGCAGAGGCAAGCAGATACCTGAGTTTTGGGCCAGCCTGGACTACAGAACAAGTTCCAAGCCAGCCAGGGCTATATAGAGAATATAAACAAACCAATGGTATAGGGCAGCTTTAAGGTCTGTAAACAGAACTGAAGACAGAAAATTCTCTTCATCATCAGTGCCCATGGCACTTTCAATAGTGACTGACAACAGCTGAGTTATCATTTAAAAAATTTAAAATTAAAAACATTGACTTTATGTTGATGAGTGTTTTACCTACACTATATATGCCTGGTACCTAAAACTGTCAGAAGTGGGTGTCAGATACCCTAGAACTGGAGTTGTTGGTTTTTGAGAGCCACCAAGTGGGTATTGTGATCCAAATGCAAGTGCTCTTAATCATTAAGCAAGCTCTTAAAAGCAAAATTTCAATCAATATTTTAACTTGTTCAAAACAGACATAATTTTTAAAATGAGTCGAGGACAAGAGTAAGTATCTTTCATCTCACACAGCACCTAATCCATAGTGCTTTCTAATTACCTGAAACTTGAGGAAATAATTAAGTAATGGACAGGGGTTTTGAAGCAGCAGGAAGGAGACAACACAAGCATGGCCAATGCACTAGTAAGTTCAAATAAAAAAGCTTCAGCATTGTCCTTTCAACATAATTTAAAGGTCCCTGAAAATCTGTTTGCAGTTTCATTGAGAAAAGCCCAGAAGGCAAAACTACGACTGGATTAACTGGATTAAGATGCTTCAAGTGGTGCTGCAGGTGGACTTCATTCTTGTTTATTAAGGAGTAGAGTGTTGAAGAGAATGGGGGAAAATGGTTTATGAAGAGAAGACTTATAGGTACACATGATTAGCAACACGTATCTCCTAGGTACTCAAAAGTATATTTAACAGAACTCAGGTATCACGCTTTCACTTTCGTCTTAGTAAAGAATTTGAGATGCATATAAACTCTAATCATGTCCACTGCAGTATAAAGTGGCAATGAGACATTTGTAATAATAGTTCCCCAAAGAAGTCAGGGTCAAGAACATCACATTAGTTTTTAGTAGATGGCCATGAGGATATGTGGTGCTCTAACATTTGAAACTCGACTGCATCTGTATGGACGAACAGCACCGATTAACTGTGAGAAACACCAGGTAAAAGCCCTGGTGTGCTAGTGTGCGGGAACTCCAAAGAGCTGGTTCTCTCCTCCCACAATGTGGGTCCTAGGACGGAGACCTGACTGTTGTAAATTCAGTGTGAGAGAGACCATGGCTTACCCTCTGGTCATCTCACCAACCCTGTTTTTCAGTCAATCTCCAACTAGACTTTTCTTATATATGTAAATTTGATGTGCTAGTAGAAAAAAATTTTCTTTAGTCTTGACAATTCACTCCTTACCCTGGTGCATTATAATTTTGTGCTTATTTTCTTCACTGTTGCTTTACTTTGCTTGGCTAACATACTAAAATTCTAGGTTAAAAATACCCAATATGTATAATAGCATGTCAAAAATCATAAAGACAAGTATCTCTGGGATATGGTGCAAAGTTCAAAACACAATGATATAAACAAGCTCCGCTCCAGAACAACTCTGAGACGCAGCTAATGCCCACCAGCCCATGCTTTCCAGTCTTTACTACAATAAATGAAGGACTGCAGATCTGGCTCTCAGTTTTTTTTTGTTTGTTTGTTTGTTTTTTTACTTTGAGATAGCAGTCCTGAACTTTTACTTCAACCAGAAATTCCTGGAGACAACAATTTAATAAGTGTGTCACAAAATTAGTCTGCGTGTAACATTGGCTCATCAGATTTTAAATTTGTAGCTTCAAGTCCTTGCCTGAGCTCGATTACCTTTCCAAATTTAATATTCTCCCAAACGGACGTCCTCGTCCCTAGTCTTGACGTTGTTGACTCCTTCGAGACCTCGGTATCGCACGGTCGTGCCGCTTACAGTCCAGTGCACTCGGCTTCGGTTCTCCTCTGCTGGACGTGCTCTCGGTTTACCTGGTGCGCCTGATTCTGTGCCGCCCTACCCTTACGAAGATGCCAGGCATACTTTCCGAGTTGCCTGCCGCCCAGGCGGTCAGGGTATGAGTGCCCCAGGTGACAGTCGGCTGACCCAGTCACCGACCTCAGTGCTGCCCCGGCACTCAGGGCGGCCAAGAGGCCCCGGAGCTGGACAGCGCTCAATCTTCCGCCTCCGGTTCCTCGCCTGGGGCTGCTCCAGCTTTGGCGGGGTCGCTCTGCCGCGGCCAGAAGGTCAAGCTCACCTTGGGGGATCGCAGAACCTTCCCGTGACTGGGCAGGACAGACGAGCCGCCAGCCGGGCAGCGACGCCGGCGAACCCAACCGCGCCCTTCCCGGCTGCTCAGTGACTTCCGGATCTGCGCAGACGCCCGGCGACGCCGTCCGGAGCGCCCCTCCCCCGGCTGGCTGTTTCCCGGCGTGCTCTGCGGCGGAAGGGCCGAGTTGACAATAACAAACCCCGCGGCGGCCGCGACCCGGTGTCACCGAGCTCGGGCTGCCTTGGGTCCCAGTGCCTCGGCGGGCTGACTCCGGTCCCCGCGCGGTGTCAAGAGGTCTGAGCAGCGGCTGCGGCCGACCCCGCAACCGCCGAACCTCCGGGCCGCGCCGGGCTCTCGGCGGCCGGGCGCCGACGGTTGTGTCGGTTGGCGGCGCCGCTGGGGCGGTTGGTGGCCGCCGCCGAGGCCAGGGCGGCGGCAGAAGATGGTGCCGGGGGCCTCCGGCTGTGCTGCTGCCGCGGGCGGAGGAGGCGCTGCCGCCGGGTGAGTGCCGCCCCTGCCCCCATCTGGCGGAGGGCTCGGGGTCCCTGACGGGATTGTGGGAGCGGTCGTCGGCACGGGCTGTCAGGGTCGCCGCGCCGGTCCTAACCGGGGACGGTGGGATCCGCCGGCCGCTGACAGCACCGCGGGAGCGGCGGGGCGCCCCGTGCCCGCCGGAGGTCTGGAGCGCGCGGCCTCCGCCACCTGTGTTCGGCGCAGCGGTGTTTCGGGCTCTGGAAACCCGAGAAGGGTTGGACCGCGGCCGAACGGGAGTGCACTGAGGGGTGGAACCCCAGAGGTGAAGCCTTTGTCCCGACCCCGGAGTGCGAGCAGGGGTGTAAAGTTACTCCTCGGAATGACTCAGCCTCCGCTCGCCCCACTGATGAATTTGGGGTGAGGGTGTATGCGGGTTCCAAAACTTGGTAAAAAAAAATGACAGCTTCCGAACGTAGTGTCTGTAGTTTCTCTACAGGCTGGTGGATATGCGGTGGTGACTGTTTATGGTTTCGTAATTTTGCCCTTTCCGTCATGAGTCTTAAAATGTGATCATTCTGTGAACCGGTTTAGGCCTGGTGCCACGACATTTATGCACTCACTTATTGATAAAGTCCCTGTAAGACATTCAGTTGGGTGGGGATGTTGTCATGTCTTTTATAACCGTTAATATTTGCCCATTTTGGTAAGCATTTTCTGTAAAAGGACTTTAGCCTGATGAGACTTATTATTTATCTGGGGGCTTGCAAGGCTAGCAGTTTAGAGGCAGCCTAAACAGTCAAGCATGTGTGCTTAACCAAATATTGTTACTGTATTTCAATAGGTGATTTTTTTTATCATTGGATCTATAAATAGGCCGCTGTTATTGTGTGTGAGGATATCTTTTATTTAGTGTTAATACAAAATATGGCATGGATTGACATTTTCTAGCTAATTTTTTTTTCTCTTTCTTTTTTTTTTTTGGTTTTTTCGAGACAAGGTGTCTCTGTGGTTTTGGAGCCTGTCCTGGAACTAGCTCTGTAGACCAGGATGGTCTCGAACTCACAGAGATCCGCTTGCCTTGCCTCCCGAGTGCTGGGATTACAGGCGTGCGCCACCACCGCCCGTCTTTCTAGCTAATTTTTGCCACGTGTTTAGCGTTTACAGCTGTGCTTAAAACTTTATCTAGAATCTCGGGTTAGAATCTTGCTGCTAAATTTATCTCAGCATTCCGGGTAGCTGAGACAGGAGGATAGCTTTAGGCTATTTGGGTTACGTAGTGAGTTACAGTGCTTTTGGGAAAGGTAGTGAGACCAAGTCTTGAAAAAAGAAAAACAACAAAAATGGTAGTTATGTCACGAGGCACATAACGTATTATTTGCATTGATTAATCTATTGCTGTAACTAGTTAGTGGACTTGGGCCACATTTTAAAAATAACTTAGTTTGTTTTGAATTAAATTGTGAGGTAATTTGGATCTGATTCTCCTAGTGTTGCTGGCAGTCAGGGAAAACAATAAAGCAGTCAGCCCAGAGACAAGAGAGAGCTGTTTGGTTCTCTTTGACAAACATCAGGGTGTGGTGGGGGCACACCTTTAATCTTGTCATTTGGGAGGAAGAGGCAGGCAGATCTCTGAGTTCAAGGCCAGCTTGGTTTACACAGTGAATTCCAGGCTGGGCGGGGTTCCATACTTAGACCATCACTCAATTAAAAATCAAAAGCTAGTAAAGTTTTTTCAGTTTATCCCTAAACCTATCTACACTTTTTTTGAGACACAAGAGTTTCACAATGTAGCCTCAGCTGTCTTACAGCTTACTCTGTAGCGCACACTAGCTCTGACCTTCCAGCAGCAGTCCTGTGTCAGCCTTAGAAGGCTGACTAGAGTCCTGGGGTGGTAGACTCTAGCCACTGCAGCCTGCTGCGCTTTCAGGAGACGCAAGGGAGTACCTGACAGTATCTTTCCATATCCATCATAGTTCTTTCACTTTATTTATTTATTGATTGATTTATTTTCGAGACAGGGTTTCTCTGACTTTGGAGCCTGTCCTAGAACCAGCTCTTGTAGACCAGGCTGGCCTCGAACTCACAGAGATCTCCCTGCCTCTGCCTCCCGAGTGCTGGGATTAAAGGCGTGCACCACCACCCCTGGCTTCTTTCACTTTATACTTGCTACATTGAGACCATTGAACTAAGGAATAAAAGGAACGTGAGAATATCTTTAGAGGCAGGTTCTCAAGTAGCCCAGGCTGGCCATGTACTCACTGAGTACATGCAACTGAGGCTGGTCTTTAAATTCTACCTTCTAAGTGCTAGAGTTACAGGCGTATGCTATCATGTCCTGCTATGAAATAGAATTGGATGTTCATATAAAATAATTGGCTCTATTAGAAATTGACTCTTAAGTTTAAGGAATGTAGAATTAGCATGGGAGGAGAGAAGTGATATTTAAAAGTCCCCTTTTCTTTAAGAACACCCTAGACATCTCAGTTTTATAATGTTTTGTTTGTTTTGGTTTTTGTTTGGAGAAAGGGTCTCACTCTAATCCTTACTCGCCTTGGATTAAGTGTTTAGCTCAGATTGGCCTCCAGCTTTTGTTCCCTTTGCTTAAGCTGTCACATCTGACACATCTTGGAGTTTTGATAAGTTTTCAAAAAGGAAAATAAGAGCCCAGTGGAAGGTTGTGAAGTCTGTCTATGTGGGTTTGAAACTTTACATAAGCTCTCCTTATAAAGTGGAGCATATGGGCCCTTATGTGTAAAGGTGGAGAGTTGAGCGCTAGTGGGGCTAACTTTCAGGAACACTTGGACTTGAGTCTATCCCTTAAATTGGATCTATGCAGTACACGTGCATTCAGTAATGCGCCAGTGAAATATAGTAATGTGTTTGTACGTGTGTGTTTGTAGGACCATTGGACATTTTAAAGAAGGCAAAATGACAAATATCAATTGCTGGGAAAAGGTGTTTGAGAAGCAGACTGTGGAGTGGTGGTTTGTAATTATGAAAAGAGTGATCTATTTTCTTTTTTTCTTTTTTTTAAATGTAGATGATGTCTTTTTTTTTTAAAGATTTATTTATTTATTATGTATACAACATTCTGCCTCCATGTATGCCTACACACCAGAGGAGGGCGCCAGATCTCGTTACAGATGGTTGTGAGCCACCATGTGGTTGCTAGGAATTGAACTCAGGACCTCTAGAAAAGCGGACAGTGCTCTTAACCACTGAGCCGTCTCTCCAGCCCACAGTGATCTATTTTCATATTATTATTAATTTGAAACTGTCCACATCAGTTTTTCCTTCACTATCTATACACAAACATTGGTTAGTAACTTCCCAGAATATATAGCAATATAATAATTCAGTACTATACTGTTATTTCTGTGTATGGGCTTGGGTGACTTTGAGTGCAGATATCATTTGAGCAAGCTTTTTAAAAAAATTTCCTATGTTTATAGTCTTGGTTTAATAGAGTAAAGCTATTTCAGTATTATAAAGGTAATTTTGGTTTGTTTCATATTTAGTATACACTGTAAAGCAAAATATAGCAACTAGAAATTTTTCTCTAAAGTCATGGATTTCATAGAGCAATGAGTGATCTGTTAATGTCCTGCTGTGGAATGATTTCTGTATATGCAGTCCAGGAAGAGTACACACTGACGTGTCATGGTGGAAAGAAAGAACTGAATATCATTACTTGATCTATGATCTTCACATGCACTGTGGGAAATGCAGTCACAAAATAAATGAATGTAACCTTTAAAATTTGGGGGCTGGAAATTTATCAGCTTTAAAGGAACTCCAGGGCTGGAGAGATGGCTCAGTGGTTAAGAGCACCGGCTGCTCTTCCAGAGGTTCTGGGTTCAATTCCCAGCAACCACATGGTGGCTCACAACCATCTGTAATGAGATCTGGCACCCTCTGGCGGGTGGACATACATGGAGGTAGAATGTTGTATACATAATAAATAAATAAATCTTAAAAAATAAAATAAAGGAACTCCAGTCCCAGCACTCACACTACCTGTAGGGAAGTTTCAGTACCATCTTTTGTTCTACTTGAGTACATGCACGCGTGTTCACATACATAATTGTGTGTGTGTGCGTACACGTGTGTATGTGTGTAGAAGAAGGAGACAGTCTTAAGTATGTAGCCATGACTGGCCCAGAACTCCTCAGCTTTAGAAAACCATGTTATTTTGTATATACATATGCCTTCTGTATGCTGAAGGAATAAATCATTCGATATACTCCCGAATTCCATTCCTGGTTTAAAAGTATTTCTTTTCTGGTTTTTGTCACGAGCTTTTCATGTGTTACCTCCATTTGCTGTTTATCTGAGCATGCTTGTCTTGTGTCAGAAGGCACACATTGAGCACTATGAACCTTTACGAAAAAGGTTTTCTTTGGTAGAATGTTAGGAAGATGCCTGTTGTTTTCTTTAACTCTTGGCAGATAAGGAGTAGTATTATCGGGGGATGGTGCATCTGATCTGCAGAGGCTGACCCCCAGTTCTGGGTCTGGCTCACCTATCTGTTCTTGGTGGTGGATGTTATTTTCATTGAACACACCAGTGAACACTCGGTGTGGTAGAATTGGTAATAACTGCAGATTGCAGAATTAGAAACGAGACAAAATGATTTCGAAATTTCTTTTCTTCATGAGGCCTTCAGTTTGCTTTCTTTGGTAACATCCAGATCTCGTGCTCTGTTAAACTTGAAAGCAACTTTATTTTTATTCCTATTAAATCATACATACCCTATACCCTAGTATTGGAATTTAATGAGTGTGTTTAGTTTTGAAGATCAAATTTTCTCATATGGGGTTTCTCACTTTCTTTCTCCATATAGGAAAGCTAGTTCTGATGTTTTAGTATCTTAGAAAGTTAGTGGTAAGGATAGACTGGACCTTGTCATCACAGTGATAATTTTTCTTTTTGTTTTTTGTTTTCAAAGATTTGTTTATTAATTATGTATGGAGTGTTCTGCCTGCATGTATCTGTGCAGGCCAGAAGAAGGCACCAGCTCTTATTACAATGGCTGTGAGCCGTCATGTGGTTGCTGGAAAGTGAACTCAGAACCTCTGGAAGAACAGTCGGTATTCTTAACCTCCGAGCCATCTCTCCAGCCTCAACACAGTGATGATGTTTCATGAGGAAAATTAGAATCATTCCAGTTGAAAGGTAGGCTAGACATTTAATAAATTAATTTTGAGATAAGTTCACACTATGTAGCTCTGGGTTGTTATGGAGACCAGGCTGGCCTCCAACTTGGAGATTTGACTACTTGTCTGTCTTCAGTGCTGGGATTACAACAGTAGGCCTGACAGGCAAGTCAAGATAAATTTTTTTAGTTGATTTCTGATTACTTTATATAGAGACAAGTCAAGCATTATCCATATATTCTGTATAAATATAATAAGCTCATTTTTATTTTTTAATTTTTATTATTTTAGAGGGTACCCTGGAACTGGAGTAAAAGAGTTAGGAGTTACCATATAGATGCTGGGAATTGAACCTGGGCCCTCTGAAAGAACAAGTGTTCTTAACTGCTGAGCCATATGTCCAGCTCTTCCCTTCATCTTGTACAGCCAAGTACAGAGTCAAAGGATCTAAGGAGAAGCAAATTGTCCTTTTTTTTTTCTCCCACTTTAGTCCATCCATATCGCTTATGTAGCTAGTTAGAGTTCTGTATCTTGAGGAGAAAATAATTCTGAGTGTCACTTGGAGCTGGGGACAGTGATGATAGGACCATACTTTGACTTTAAAATTCAGATAAGCAGAGATTGGTGGAGGAAGGATTTTTACCTGGCCTAAAAATGTTTAAAGTGTTGGTATAGTTTTTTTTTCTTTATGTATGGGATCCTTTGATGACACTTCTGGAAAAAGGAAATAGGGTTAATTTTGAAACTATTAATATTGAAGCTTAATATCCATCACTTAGTGATTTTTATTGTACTCTTGGGTACCGTGAAGGATTCTGATGTGCATTATTAACTCTCCTGTATCAATGCTCTAAAATGTATATATGAACAAACTCAGATGTTGACGTTATTCAGTCCAGTTTGTATAGATCATAAACTCAGATGTTGACGTTATTGAGTCCCCGTAGAGTAGGTAAAATCTGGATGGAGATAAGTCTTTTTTTCAAGCATTATCTTCCTGGGTTAATTATGTGTCAGCATTGTCAAGTTCACATGCAGTGGGGTTGCCAGCTAAATAAAGGAAGTAAGTGGTATCAGGTGGGTGCTTCGTTAGATGTTATAGCATACAAAAGATAGCTTCAGATAAGATAGGAGAAGAGACTCAGAATCAGATTTGATGCATCTGGTAGAAATATCGGAGGGGAATTGGAGAGAACTAGAAAGTTAAAAAAAATTGTAGACTCTAAAGGTTATGCCAGGGAAGATTAGGTGTTAGATTCTAAAAGAAAATCAGTGAAAGATTTAAAGGAAAACCATCAAATTAAAATTTGAAGTAGTTAGCCATGTTATGGATATGTACCTCAGCAGTTTATGTGGTTTTGGTTTGTTGTTGTTTGTTGGTTGGTTTGTTTTAGGCGGGGTCTTATGTAGCCCAGCTTTGCCTTAAATTTACTATGTATATAAGGATACCCATGAGGTTATAATCATCTTGCATTTACCATTCCAGATGTTAGGATTACTGGGATACTCATTACCATAATTGTGTTGGAGAGTGAGCCCTAGGCTTCCTCTGCACTCATACAGGGCAGTCTCTTTACACCACCAACCCCCTGTGAGCCCCATGCTTACTCCTGTGCCTTATCTTTTGAGTCCCAGTGACCATCCCTACCAGTGGTAGAGCTATCCCTTAGCAGATACTGTGTTCAATCCCCACAACCAGGAAAGAAAAAAGGAAAAGGAAATTTTGACATGTTTAACAGTAGGATTTGTAGTTGGAAATATTTTGCACCAGTCAGTACTCTCTCTGAGTTGAGGATGTCTGAATTTGTTATTAACGTTAACTGAGGTTGTTTTCATACACATGTGGAAGAGTTTGCACAATTCTGTCACATATATGAAGATTGTTCTTTAGCTGTTCAGAACCATCTTGGGAAATAGATGTTTTCTCTCTATTTTTTTAATTAAAGAAAATTGATAGATGAAGCCAGTCAAGATCACAGAGTAGTACAGGGCTTAATACAGGTTTTCTGTTGTTATTCTTCTGTCTCCCTATAAGTAATAATTAGAGGAATAAATATGAGTGGCATTTAGGGGAGCCAACGTAGACCATGGTCTACATAGTGAGTTCTAAGACAGCTACGGCTATGTAGGGACCTTGTCTCAAAAAGAAAGAAAAAAAAACTCTAGGAGTCATGGCGTGCACTTAATAGCAGAAAACCATTAGAAGGTGAAGTCAGGAGGACCAAAATTGATACTGAGGCTACGCCTGAGGAGACTCAATCTAAAAACAAACTTTTGTTTTGTTTTGTTTTTGTTTTCCAAGACAGCATTTCTCCCTGTAGTCTTAGTGGAATTTGCTCTGTGAACCTGGCTGGCCTTGAACTCCTCCTTCCTCCCTCTCAAATACCTGGATCAGAGGTGTGGGCAGTACCACCTGGCTCAGAGAAACAACTCTTAGTTTGTATATTTTTAGTACACATTGCCGGTTAAGTCTCCTTAAGAGTTCCACCAGCTTATATTCCTCCAGAAATGTGCCCGTAGAGCCAGGTTTGTGTGGCCTACATCAGATACCGGTCAACCTGCTACCTAGGAAGTTTTAGGCTACTTGGGCTACATGTAACTCTTTTTTTGTCTCAGGACAAAAAGGGAAGAGAAGGGAAGGAGAAAGAAAAAAGTAGGAAGGTAAAAGAAAGAGAAAGAGAGCCGTTATGTGAACTGCTTATTACCTTTTCAACATAAAATAAGTCATTTCCATCTTTAGTAGCATTGTGATTGCTAAAAACGGTCTTGTAGCCATCTTAGTTATCATTTCTTAGTTTAGTATGTACAGCCAGAGTTTATTTAACTTACTATGTTTGTTTTGACATATGGTTTGGCTATACGGTTCAGGTTATCCCTATATTCCAGGGTATTTAGGTCATACAGGTGCTACATCATGATGTAGATGGATTTTTCTTTGGGCCACCAGCTCAAATAATGACACAGACTTATTATGAAAATTATGAAAGCTCCGCTTTAACTTAAGCTTGTCCCACTAGTTCTTAAACTAGTAAGTTTGAGTATGACTGACTTGTTTTGATATTTCTCTCCAGTGTTGTCCCAATGAAACGTACTGTTTTGTCTTATTGGACAGAAACTAATAACAATACTTAGACACGTAGTCAAAAAATAATAGGAGCTGGGAGTCTGGGGTGATGAAGAGATGGCTCATTAGTAAGAACACTTGGTACATATCCAGAGGACCCAGGTTTGATCCCTAGTACCCACATGAGCCTCAGCCATCTCTGATTCCAATTACAGGGGATCCAACACAGCTGCCTTCTACATGCATCAGGCTTGAGTGTGATGCACTCACATGCGTGCAAGCAAAACACTTATACACATAAAATAAAAATAAGTCTTAAAATATTGTGAGTAGGTATGATGATACATACTTGAACTCCCAGAACTCAAGCCAAGGCAGGAGTACTGAGAGTACCGATAGTTGGGAGCCTCAGAAAGTGTAGGCATGTAATTGCAGTTACTGTACATATACAAACTTTCTAGTTATGATTCCCTCAGCAATTCACTCTAACAAGTATTTACAGACATTTAGACACTGTAGTAGATTAAAATGGATAGCCTGTGTGTCAGGTAAACACTACAGCCTTTAGATAAGGACTTCCTACTGCAGATTTAGGTATAAAGATTTGGATATCCATGGAATCAGTTCCCCAAGAATAAAGAAAAAAACATGACTGTATTCGTAATGTTGTGTATAAAGCCACAGTCAACTTTTTTTAAGCTTTCTGTTTTACCGGATGACTTGTTTAAAATAGACATTACTTTCTGTTTGTGTGTTGTTTCTCATCTAAACACGGATACAAACACTGTACAATGAGTGAAAATTTAAAAATTGGATGAGTTGAAAACTCTCCCTCCCATACAGTAAAAGGGGGGCATGGAGATTGTTATTGAAGTACATTTTTCACAGAAGTGATCTTGTCTCACATTTTCAACAAAATTCTAAAGTTGGAAAAAATATTAACCATAGGTACAATCAATTTTTATGCTAATACTGAAAATTAAATGCAACAAGCAAATTGAGATCATATAAGAAAATCCTGAAGTTTAAAAGAGTTTACATACCGGCAAATGTACATAATGAACAATCCCAAAGTTATAAGTTGATAGGAGCACTAGTTCTTCTTTTGTTTGTTTGTTTATTGTGTGTAGGGGTATTATATGGAGGTCAGAGGACAGTTAGATCTTCCTCTCCTACCATGGGGTCAAATGCTGAGCTCCTGTCTGTGTGGTTGCAGGTGCTTTACCTTCTGAGCCATCTTACTAGCCTAGAATTGTTTAAGCAGTTAGCTGTGTAAGCTTAAGTTTTAGTAATATGCTCAATTAGGGTAAACTTAGTTTTTAATTTGAACTTGATTTTATATATGCAGGTTCTTTTTTTTTTTAATAGAAGAGTGTCTTGTGGGCTGATAGTCTGAGAGGGTGACTCTGATCATCATGACAATTGGCAGGCAAGCATGACACTAGAGCTTACATTCTGGTCCACAAGCAGGAGACAGACAATTGCCATTTCTAAATTTTGTTTTTTAGTTATGCCTTCATTGTATGCATTTTTGACTGTTCTTTTTACTGTAGCATTTGCATACCTCCCTTCTTGATACTTGGTCATTTTATAAGATGAGATTTTAAAAGATACTTAATATCAAACTTTGGCACTACAAACAAAAAAGGTTAAATTTGTTGAATGACTATGTAAGGATTGGGCTTTATGAATGAATAGTCTGACGATGTAGCAGTTTTTAAAACATTGGTGGAGTGAACTCATGTATCTCTTGACTTTTGCAAAAAAAAAAAAAACAGATTTGGGAAAACTAGGTAGCTACTAAGCCAGGAGTGTAATTATATATGTTCTGGGTTACTTAGTTCTTTTGTTTTTGCTCTTGTTTTTAATGTATAAGGGTATTTTGCATGCTTTGTATGTCTGTGCACTAGCCACTTGAGTGTCTGTCTGCTCCCCTAGGAGGCCAGAAGAGGGCA